CCACCAGCATGTGAGTGCCACCAGCATGTGTGTGCCACCAGCATGTGTGTGCCACCAGCATGTGAGTGCCACCGGGTACATGAGTGCCATCAGCATGTGTATGTCTCCGGGTACATGAGTGCCATCAGCATGTGTACGTCTCCAGGCACATGTGTGCCACCAGCATGTGTGTGTCTCCAGGCCTGTGAGTGCCACCAGCATGTGTGCGATCAGGCACATGAGTCCAGGCGGGCGGGTGGGTGCCATGTGCTATGCACACCCACCTGACAGGCCTGTGCCCGCTGGGCATCCCGTCCCTGCAGACTCACCGACCGCCCGGGTCTCATACTCGTTCGCCAGCTCCTCCGACTCCCCGGCCGCGTTGATGTCGTTCTTCACCTTGGCCAAGGTCTTCAGGATCTTGCTGGCCCCCAGGGCTGCCAGAGTGCAGCCTTTGGTCTTTTCAGAGGGCAGAGAAGTTTCAGGTTAATTCACAATCCCTTGAAGTGGTTGCTTCACCGTGAATGTCAGGCAAGGAGGAATTCATGGCACAAGCAGGAAATGGTCAAATCTAAACTACTCATAGTGATTCAAAGGAAAACTCGTCATGAACACAAAATGGTCTTGAACCTGAATATAGTCAGTCTTGAATACGAAATTAGCGTACGTAAGGAAAACATCAATATAAACGCCATGATTAACTAAGAGTAAGACTATGATCACAGGAGTCCTAAATACCATTATCAGATCATAACAGTTCAAAAAGAGCGGAAAAATGGATGAAGACACACAAGACCTGAACAATGTAATTAATAAGACTGAATGAATGTATGTGTGTGCAGGTGTGCATGCACACGTGTATATATGTACTCAAGACTCAATATCTAATTTGATGCTCTACAAATGGAGAACGTAGCTTCTTTCCAAGTGTCCATAAATCACTTACAAAAATTATGCAGTAAACCACAAAGAAAAATCTCAATAAATTTCCCAGAGCAGAACTGGTACAGGCCCTACTTCCTGTCTATAAGGTAATAAAACTAGAAATTAATTTTTACAATTAAATTTTAAAACTTCAACCACTTGGAAACCATCACACACCCACAAACACCTGAAAAGAAGTCTACTACATTGCCCGCCAAGCACACCTGCCTTCCACAGACTGCACCTCCCAAATGCACCTTCATCGATGCAGTAAACCGAGACACAACCATGATCCCCCAGCAGCAGATATTCCATTTTATCAATGATGGTTCAGATCAGTCATGTGAGTTTCAGGAAGGTCAGAACAATCGCAACAAAGCATACATCTGGCATGGGCTTGGACACTTACCTGTTCCCAAATGACCTTGGAGAGCTCCTTCTTGTTCTGAAGAATGGCCCAGATGAAGAGCGCTTGCAGGGGGTGCCGGGTAATAGGAGACACATCCTGGGAGGGGTTAGAACGTGTGGTCAGCACGTGCAAATGGAATAGCACTTTATGTGCACTACTATAAGAATGAAAAAATTGGGATCAGGATCTGCTAGGAGAGCACTCCATGTTTAGGGGACTCTGTAACTCTGTATACTTCCATGTTAACAGCACAGCTAAGCAATTTTCATCTCTGTGACTTACCAGGTCATATAACTTGACACACAACTTACTATCGATCATAAAAGATGAAGAACAACAAAACTGAAAGGTATAAAGGGTGAAAAAAACATGCTGAGAGAGATTTAAAAATTGCATGACTTCTGACAAGCCGAAGAGAGCAATTCCTTCTCATCATATAAATCTCGATTTCTCATCTAGCAAAATAGCTCATACTAAATTCCAACTTTCTTGTAGTTTATGTTCAATTATCACAACGTAAAGCTATGTTTATCTCTTTGGAGTGTTATGCAAAGATTTGATTCCTAACACATCAGTTAGAATTCCAGGTCCTATTCAGCATCCCATAGCTTCCAATGGAAACTTTTCAGATAGAAAACATTAAATGTAGATATTCCTTTTAAACTTATAGGCTTTACTGAGGTCTAAAACGCATAAGATAGGGTTATGCATACTGAAGAGGGTTTTAATATAAGTAATGTCAAGCAGAAGCTTTCTAAACACTTCCAATGCTTGCAAACAGCTAGCTGGTTTAGATTTTTGCAACACACACACTCATACTAAAAATTCCAGAATTAGAAAAGATAAATGACCTAGTTTGGGTTTCCCCAGAAGTAATCCTGAGGCAAGGATTTGAAGCAAGCAGTTTATTTGAAAGGCGAACCCAGGAAAACAGATAAGGGGATGAGGAAATGAGACTGGAAAATAAACTGATTAAAGGGTGTATTACCAAGCAGGTTATTACTGTGGGCGACTAGAAATTAACCCCACTAGGAAACTCTCAGAACCAGTATAGGACACGTGTCTCAGAATTAACTCCTACAAGCAGGGAGGGAGTGAGGGTATTTATACTTCAAATTCTGGCAGTCATTGGGCTCTCACTGGAGGAAATTCTCAGCAAAAAAGATACAGATGCTGGCAGCTGGGAACCGGGCTTCCCTGTACTTAAAATGGGAAGACCCAGAGAGAATAAGAATAAGGGTGGTACATCCACAGTATCCTTTTTTTTTTTTTCCCCTCCATTTTCCCCTTCCCTCCAGCCCCTGGTAACCACTAATAAACTTTGGTCTCTATACATGTGCCTGTTCTCCACAATATCCTCTCAAATGGAAACCTAGATTATCACAGCCCCCTTTTATCCCAAAAGAAAACTTGTTAGTTATTCAGTGCTTTACATGGGTAGCAGGGGCTATTTTTTAGGAGATCATTTCCAGGAGGCTAAGAAGTAGCCTTTGTTTTTTTAACCCCCTTTTTTGTCCCTGTTAGATGCCTTCAGCATGTGCCACATCAAGCTTTGCAATTAAGAAAGACAGCAACAACTAGTTTGAAGCGTTAGGCATAAAGCAAGACACCAGAAAACTCATCAGGTAGAATCATTATTACTTGAAATAAAGGCAGCAGAAAAAACTAACAATGCCATCATGTTAGTTAATGTATGGCAATGAGGTAGGGAGTGGAAAAGATGGACTTAGGGAAATTTTTTGAAGGAAGATTTGAAAGATCAGAGAATTCAAGTAGGCAACTCTTCCAGTACATACGTGGATTTCTATGTCCATCTCATCTCTGCTATTTCTGTCTTCCTTCCGGAAGCCTCTACGGAAGTTTGCAACCAGCTTCCAAACAAATGTGAGAAGGGCGTCATTATAGGAATTCTTTGCAATCTGCAGGTTCCGATACACAAGAGTGCTGAAGTGGTGGGAGAAGAGCTCTGTGAGGACATCGTTGGTGAGAAACTTCCTCAGGTTCAAGCCATTCTCCAGAAAGAGGCGGACAAACTTGGGTCTGTCTTTTATGAGAGCCATAAACATGACTTCTTGAAGGTCAGCAGACTAAGGAGAAAGAGCAAAGAAAGTAATCACACCCCAAGTCCAATAAATAAAATACAAGGCATTTTTCTTTCTCAGCCACAGTGATAAGGCAATAGTATCTTTAGCTTCTCTTTCAATCCTGTGTTGAGAATCAAGTTTACCTTTTCAAATTGAAACATAACACTGGAGCACAGTTCAAACATCTAGACAAGGAAAGTGGCATAGTGGAATCTTTGACATCAACCAGATGTGGGCTTGGATTGACTTGGCCTCTTGCTAGCATAAAGTGGAGATAATTACACCCAGCAGTACAGCTTGCACCATTTCTCTGATGTCTGCAGTAGACACCAATTATAAGCCAACCACCAGTGTTGTCTCTTCACTCTGCTCCATTGCATCTTCCCTTGCTGCCCTTCACTGGTGCCCGTGTGCCTTGCACTATGGTGGCTGAGTTCTCAATATAGCTGGCAAGATGGAATCCATTAAGACACGCAAATCACATGCCACCAAGCAAACACATGGTCATAGTAAAACCAAAGCCAATCCAGTTGCCATCAAGTCGACTCCAACTCATGGCGATCCCATGTGTGCCACAGTAGAACTGTACTCCATAGGGTTTTCAATGTCTGTGACCTTTGAGAAGTAGAACTCCAAGCCCTTCTTCCGAGGCACCTCTGGATGGATTTGAACCACCAACCTCTTGGTTAGCAGCTGAGCACATTAACTATGCACCATCCAAGGGACTCTTTATGAGAAACCAAACCAAACTCGTTGCCGTCAAGTTGATTCTCACTCAGAGTGACCGTAGAGGACAGAGTAGAACTGCCCCCATAGGGTTTCCAGTGAGTGGCTGGTAGATTCAAACTGCCAACCTTTTGGTGAGCAGCCATAGCGCTTAACTACTGCACCACCAGGGCTCGAAGGGACTCCTTGCATACCAGTAAATTGCTGGAACACACGACAATTATACCGGGTTATTATTTTATCATTATCTCCCCTTTCTGGGCTCCTGAAAGTTTATTGAGAAGTTTATTGAGAATCTGAAGAAAAATAATTGTTTACTTTAAATACCAACTACTGGGCTCCAGACCATACCCACTCTCTGATATATTCTGGGTGTCCTCAATAGTATTTCTTAAAATTTGGATTAGTTGCCAATATTGAAAAATCAGAAGATTCATAAAAATCCACATTTCCAGCACTGAAGTCCAGATTTAAGAGTGAAAAACCAGAAGCTCTGACAACGTGAAGGCCATGAGCTGGAGCTGAGAGGCAGCTGCTCCCAGGAGCCTGGGTTCCCAGCACCCCAGGCCCCACCTTTCCTCACTGTGGTACATCCAGCTCACGTTATCCACTTACGTTCCTTGCCTGACCCCATTTAGGTCAATATTCTCTGCCAAGGGCAGCATTTCAGTTTTTTGTTTTGGTCTAATATTGATCTCATGGGAATTACACCGCCTGGAGAGGGGAATTGTTGAGGGTCCCTGGAGTCCCTGCAATATGGTTCCAGTGGATTAGGGAAGGGAAGATATGACTGCCCCAAGGACAGTGGCACTAGATTTAACCCTCTGTCTTCAAGGCGGCATTCCGTGTGTCAACGCTTCACATTTCCTTCTAAATCAGTTTGCCTTTCCACATGCTTGAATGCAGAGTATTCATTCTCAAACTTTAATCAGAGCCAGTTGGAGGGCTTGTTAAACCACACATTGCTGGAAGCCAGCCTCAGAAATTCAGCAGGACTGAGTCGGACTTCAATAATTTTCATTGCTAACGAGTTCCCAGGTGATGCCCATGTGCCAGTCCAGGGACCAGGCTTTGAGAACCACTGGCATACGGGAAAGAGAAAAGCCTTTGCAGTCAGACACCGCTTTGTTTTCGAACATTGGTTCTACCATTTTTCTAGTTATGCCAGGGCCAGATTACCCAATAAGCAAGGTATGCATGGGCCCAATTGTGTCTTCCCACCGATCTGTGGTGCCCAATTTCCTCTGTCCCCCACCACATCAAAGACTGGTGAAACTCATGTGAAATTGCTCACCACAGTTAGCAAGTAAATAAAATTAAGCCCGTACCTGGCTCAACGCAAGCAGGTGCATACCTTGCTTACTCATTAATCCACCTCTATGTGTGACCTAGAACAAGACTGTGTCTCTGAGCCTTAGGTTGCTCCTCTAGCAAACAGATGATTGTGAAGATTAAATAACACAGATCAAGACCCTTTCAAAGATTCAAATACAGAGGGGACCCTCAAAGAACCAGCAGTCACTCCTCTTCCTGTGATACCCCTGGAGCCCTGGTTTGTTAACCAGCAAAATGAGTTGCTCCTTGCATTGGATTGGTGTGAGGGTCAACTAAACAATGAAGCTGCTTTGGTGAATCCATTATTAGCATTATTTGAAAGATGTATATTTATTTTAAACAAATAATTATGTAAGTACTTTAGGAACATTATCTGATTTAATCATCATAACAACCCAATAAGGTAAAAACTACTATTATTATCATTTTCATTTTACTGAAGAGCAGTGGTATACTGGAAAATGTTTAACAACCAGCTCTCTGAAAGAAAATAATAGGCCCTGATTTATATAGTGTTTGCTAATTCCTATGGTGTAAATAATCCCACTGTGGCTAATTTCAAGCTATCAACATAATATCACTGAATATGGAATTGGGACTAGATGTGGAGAAGAAGCACAGCATTATATAGTATTTCCAACATACAGATACAATAGACAAAAGTAACCTCCAGAGCACAGACAATAGTAAATGAAGTAAAATAATTAGGAAAATGATGAGTTTTGATTATTTATTACCTTCTTAATAAAATTTAATTCTAAGTTTATATAATTTAATTTTTCAAAATGAATGCATGTAACAAACAGCTCACAAAATTCCTGAAAATGTAGCAGTCAGCTCTTGCAAGCCAGTATATGCTGGCTCCAACACGTCACCAGATGGGCTGACTTCACAGTCCATACTCTTAACCATTACATCCTTCACCCTTAACTATCTTTAGCTGAGATAATAAAATTTAATAGACCTTTCAATATGTCCCTGAGTTTATTTGCACCATGTGACCTTACTTAAATAGAACATTTCACCCACAAAGATTTATTTATGAATCCATTAACTATACCTACTTATAATTTACTTTCCCTCAACCGAAACATTACAATGTGTAATAGAGTTCATTACACTACAAAGACGAAACACAAGATCTTGTTTGCTAAAAGAATGAATAATTTAAAAAGTCATAAGTCATTACTTTATTTGCACTACTATTATTAAAACTGATCACATGTTAATGTAAATCAAGACCTAGTCTTTGATTATACAATGATAGGCCTAAGAGTGTTTTCTGAATCAGACCGCTAAGGATGAAAGTTACGAAGTACACACACCTTCAAATCTACATGTATTTGTGGAAAATTAAATATGTCCTCACAAAATTAAATATATTTCTTACTGTCCACTAATGATTAAAATTAATTCAAAAGAGCCAAAAACAAAGAAGTAGGCAGCCTCGTCATCCCAGCGTGAGGGTTCATAATTGCTCCTAATGAACAGAGCTGCTAAGGCTGATTTAACTTCAGTTGTACACAAGAGGACAACTGCTAGACAACGTGGTTCTGAAACTCCCATTAATGTGAAAAGTGACAAAAGGCAGCCTACTGGCTATTTTTATTGAATGCACAACTCCCATAGTTAGAGAGGCTCCTTTGGCAAGGGGAGTCACAGTATTCTAGCTCTAAGACATTCATTTACCACCAGAATGTTCTTTAAAAGCAAGGATGGTGAGACTTCGACTCATTTACTTTGGACACATCATCAGGAAAGACCAATCGCTAGAAAAGGACATCATATTTGGTTAAGTAGAGGGCCAATGAAAATGAAGGAAACCCTCAATGAGATGGATTGACACAATAGCCACAATAATGGTCTCAAACACACCCACACACATGAGGACAACACAGGACCAAGCAACAGAGTTCGCTCTGTTATACGTAAGTTCGCCCTGAGTCAGAGCCACCTCTATGGCAACTCACAACAACCAGAAGACATTCATTCAGTGTCTTTAATCCAGCTGTTCTATTTTTCTCAGTTTTCCTGTCAGAATTTGGCTAGGTAGGAGGGACGGGGAACAAAAATGTACTGCCATCTCCATTTTTAGTTGAGCTACTTCAGATAACCCCCTTTCAATCCTCCTATAAATATTTTTCCCATCGTTCTTCCCATCTTTTCCAAGAAGGAGATCAGCACGTCTATATCCAGGTGGGGACTCACTTCTCACATCATGGCTGAAGAGCTATAAACTTTGGTTGGTTCTGGTGGATTGATACTATCTTGCATTTGTGCATTTATTCTTATTTTCCCTTCACAACAAACCTACAAAGTCAATGTTATTATCTCACAGTACAGGCAAGGAAAGGGAGGCTCAGCAACACTGGTGTACCAGAAAAGAACAACCTTTTACAAGACTCAATACTGACATCTTATTGGAAACGGGCCAGCCAGCGCCAAGACATGACACTCTCAATCCAGAGGGGCTCCGCCAGATTCTTCCTTACCTCCCATCGGCGGTCATTGGTGAAAATCTCATCACTGGCCAGGTCCAGCTGGTTCCACTCCAGCAGAAGCTTCAGCTGCCCATTCCAGTTATCCTTATCCTGTTCGTTGGTGCTGAAGGCTGTAAGAGGCAGGAAAAGAATCAATTCACCAAAGACCCAGAAATAAAAGTCACAACTGTTCAACATGGACAATTATCAGAGCCATTTATCCAATATGATTCTAAGCATGTTCTCTTAGCATCAGACACTCAGAACTGTGATTTCACTTCATTTTCACTCATTCTTATCTGCTTCTATACGTCCCAAAGTCTATACTCATTGCTCTTGAGTTGATTCCGACTCACAGCGACCCTACAGGACAGAGTAGAATTGCCCCATAGGGTTTCCAAGGAGCAGCTGGTGGATTTCAACTGCCAACCTTTTGGTTAGCAGCTGAGCTCTTAACCACTGAGCCACCAGGGCTCCCCAAAGTCTATAAGGGGAATCAATTCAGGCTATAATTGTTGCTATTGTTAGTTGCCTTTGAGTGAACTCCAGCTCATGTACAACAGAACAAAACATTGCCTCATCCTGCACCACCTACATGATCACTGGATGCTCAAGTCCATTGTTGGAGCCACTTTGTATTTTGAGTACCTTCCAACCTAGGGGGCTTATCTTCCAGCCCTATATCAGACAACATTCAGCCGTGTGATTAACCACTGCACCACCAGGGCTCCTTATCTGACTTAGACTTCGTCTAAATCTACAAAATATGAGCTACGTTATAGCAATGTTCTACTTGTGTTTTCCAGGACTGATATTTTCTGTATCTATGTATCTCTGCAGTATAATCCCACTTTAATAAATACCCTTACAACCAAAATTTTGGCAAGCACAATAAGAATCACACTAATAAACAGCTAAGGCTTAAATAGCACTTCCTACTCGCCTGGCCCCACTCTGTGTACTTTACATCTATTAACTCAAGCAGTTCAGCTCTGGGAGGGAATGTCTTGGCCACGAATCTGTTTACCTCAGGTAATATTCACCCTGATGGAATTCTAAACCAGCAAAGATCACAGATAAGAATTTATTAACCTGAGGTTCATTCATGGGCTTCAGGAGACTTGAAAACCTCTGAAATTAAAGGCAAAATTATTTATGTGTTGCTGGTCTGACAGAGACTGGAAGAACCCTGGAGACTATGATCCTAAGACATCCTTCTGACCTGGAAATGAAGCCATTCCTGGAAACCACCTCCCAGCCAAACAATAGGCCAGCACATAAGATAAACAGTAACACTGGAGAGGTATTTACTCCTTAGAACAATCAGTTATAACATGAGAAGGCAGGAAGGGGTAGAAAATCAGGACCAAAAAATGGGGAAACCAGGGCAGAAATGGGGAGAGTGCTGACACATTGTGGGGAATGAAACCAAAGTCATGAAACACTTAATGTACAAACTATCGAATGGGAAACTAATGTTCTCTATAAACTTTCACCTAAAGCACAATTTAAAAAAATTGATTTATGTGTGTGCAAGTATGTGTGTATGCACACACATACATACACACGAATTGCTAGAACAAACGTCCATAGTTTTCAATCACATTCTCAAAGGAGTCGCTGACTCAAAACAAAAAGGTTTAAGACCACAGTTGGAGCCAGCTCTTTGAAGTGTTATGATCAAATTTGATCAGTATTTTAATGACAAAAGTATTGTTCTTCTATCAAATACATACAACCGAGGAGATCTGACTCAGCGGGGCAATAGTTATTCTAGCTTCCAATCTGTGATAATCAAAATTAAATGCAAGATTTCACCCCAATAACACCCTTTAAAAAATTAGACACGAGCCATCAGAAGCCACAGGCATCAGCACAAAGCTGAGGCCCTCCAGCACACCTTCCCAGACTCACCTTTGTACAGAGCGTAGGAAATGGCATTGCTCACAATCTCATCCCCAGCTTCTTCCATTTTAATAACCGTTAACAGGTGAGCACTTTCAAGGATTTCTTTGAGCTGGCAACATTTAAAGAACAAAATTGTGAGCTAGCTAATAACTGATTTTAGTCATGAGAAGCATAAAATTCTCTCTTTTGGTGAGAACTGTTCATTCTGTTTCAGAAAAATACAACCTGTAAGAGAGCTCCAGGTCTCTCCCTCCCTTACAGCATCTGTACCTGTAGCTTCTACTCTCTAAATTTTAATAGTCAGTCCTTGACCACAATGAGATTAAAGGGCTGGTTATAGAAGGGCACTCTTAAGCTTGATCTCTTGGGCAATCTGTACCAATTGCAAAACCCCATATGAGTACATAATCAAACAGTCAGACTGAGTGACATATTCCATTGGTGACTTTGGCCCTGTACAGCCCGACCTTTCCTGCTTCTCTCAGTGGGTTCTGCTCCTTGCAAAGAGTCTGGTCTGCAGTCAGCCACACACCTACCCTGGTATAGAGGCCTGCAGCTGTCCAGCACTGCCTACGTCTGGGTGTGTCCACCTGTCTCATTCTGAGGTTCAGCATAAGGAGGCCCATTGTGGCTGCACCCTTAATCCACATCCTCACCTTTGCCTTCTTCATCAATAAAGCTGATATATTGACCTCCATTTGCCTGACTCTTGTGTCTATCTTTCAGCCTGACTTGGACAAGATACAATAAAATCCCAGGAAGAATTTTTCTACAAAACCACTGGTTTTATCTTTATTAGTAAAATCTACAAAATGCAGTATCTCAGGTATGAATATCACATAAGCAGTCCTCAGACAGGGCATCATTCAGCAACAACGTTGTCTCTCAGCTCTGGGAAGAACGTGCATCTGAGCTTTTAAGGCCTGAATTTAGATGATGAGGATTAATGGAGAGGACTTGTAAAAATATATATTGAATACAAAAAAATATGCATTGAATTCCTGGTCCCTGTACCTGTGGATGTGATCCTGTTTGGAAATAGGATTTTCTTTGTTAATGTCAATTAGATCATACCTCAGTATGGGGGGTTCTAGACTTAATTACTTCTGAGTTATCGAAACAGCAGATTACACACACCACATAGGGAGAAAAGGAAGACAGATGACAGAGACAGATGCATCTCCAAGCCCAGGAACGCCAAGGATTGCAGGCAGATACCAGAAGCTGAAATAGACAAGGAAGGGCCTCCCCCTAGAGCCACACTCTGAATTCAGACTTCTAGCCTCCTGCACGCTGAGAAAATAAATCTCTCCCTGTTAAAGTCACCACTTGAGGCACTTTTTTGTTATGGCCACTGGTTTATTTTTAAATGAGCTGATGTGCATGTGCCTATGGATATAAACATGAGCTTCCTAATTCACTGAGCTGTTGGGAAATAAAAATTACTATGCATCAGGGAACAGAAAGAAAAGTGAGAAAGCTTAGCACTGTGTTAAATTATTTTCATAAGCTTAGCAAAAAGAAGCCTAGTTAAGTATTCTGGTAAGCATACATTTCTTAAATAATCTAATAAGAAAGGTGAGAAATTCTGAATTGAATCGCAGGCCAGTTAATTTAGAAAGGCAATTATTTTGTAGTAATGGTTTCTCCAACAGATCTAGACTCAGTTTAGAGTCTGAATTTCTGAACACATCATTACCAGAGATTTCTTTCCTGCTCACCATGGATACATACAAAATGCAGAAGCTCAATATTTGTTGACATCATGGTATACAAGAAGGAAGACAAGCTTTACAAGCAACCCAACCTGAGCTTCCCATGAACTTGGCCTTTTTGTTCTCAGCCATTTAACATCTCCCCAACATCAACTCACTGATTTGATCCAACTCTCCATTTCCTCCTCCGGCAGCCGGGACACTGTGCGGGGCAGAAAGCGCACCAACTTCTCCTTGATGATGGACGATGTCAGGACGTCCTCCACCTCTACCAGACTTGCAATGATGTCCGCAATCTGGCCCGAACCCTCCACCACCACGCAAGGAATTTTACTTTTGATGGAGGCATTGATGGCCTGGGAGAGGAAGAGGGAGAGAGAGCCGGGCGGATGAAAGAGCGAAGGAGGAGCAACAGATTCCAGCTCAGGACCAAGGTTCTAGATTCAAATTGGTTAACAAAACACATTGACATGTCCCTGTGCCTTTTCCTTTGAGGCTTTGATTTTAAAACAGAAGCAATCCAAATGTTTACAATTGCTACATGAAGGAGAAATGTAAACTGATGATATTACATGCTGTGCTACTACCAAATTCCATAATAAAGCTTACATTTTGCATAAATGCTTTAAAAGATATGTATTTTATAACGTATACATTTATAATGCATAATGTATTCTTTACTGTATATTTTATATATTATATTATGTTTAAAATATTAAAAATATGTAATAAATGATATAAGCATTGTATATTTATGTAAATATATAATATACATTATACTATATATATAGTATACACATTATATTACTTATCTATCCATTTATATATGTATTATCATAGTCCATTTCTATGCAAAGATGGGGCAGGCATAGTTTTGCAATATATGTGCTGGTTTTGGAGCTCTGGTGGCACAATGGTTAAGAGCTGTGGCTGCTAACCAAAAGGTGAGCAGTTTGAACCACCAACTGCTCCTTGGAAACTCTATGGGGCAGTTCTACTCTGTCCTATAGGGTCTCTATGAGTTGGAATCGACTCAATGGCAATGGGTTTGGTTTTTTGGGGTTTTTTTTTTTGGTGCTGGTTTTGTCCCTTAAGTTTCATGAATTAATGTCAACCCTTCTCTCTAGCAGGTTGATTGTCAAAGCCAACACTAAGTGTACAGACTATTCATGTAGCTTCAAATTCTCTTCCCATATCTTCTTAGCTAAGGAAACAACCTACGTCTGTTAGGGGAAGATAAATAGGTAGGTAGGTAGACTGGCCGACAGGTAGGTAGGTAGGCAGGTAGCTGCTGTAGGTAACTCCAACTCACGGCAATCTCATGTACAACAGAAAGAAAGCTCCCTGGTCCTGCATCATCATCACAATCATGGCATATTCAAGTCCATCATTGTGGCTACTATGCCAGTCCATCTCTCTGAAGGTCTCCCTTGCCCTCATGAGCCCTCCGCTTCACCAGACATGACGTCCTCCTCTAGTAATTGATCAGACAGCGTTCTGCTGTGATCCATGAGGTTTTCACTGGCAAATTTTTGGAAGTAGATCACCAGGATTTTCTTCCTAGTCTGTCTTAGTCTGGAAGCTCTGCTGAAGCCTGTCCACCACGCGTGACCCTGCTGGTGTTTGAAATACCTACCAGTGCATAGCTTCCAGCATCACAGCAACATACAAGTCACCACAGTACAACTGACAGATGGGTGGTGGAACATTATGTAAGGGAAAGTCATTCCCTACTTGCTACAGTGAATGAAATTAGTCAAGTTAAAAATGATCCCAAAAGTCATGAAAGTAGGAATTTGGTTGGTAAGCTTTTCAACTGAACTTCTAAAATACAAACCAGAACTCACTTTCAAGGTCTCTCTTCCACCTCCTTGGGCAAAACACACAATGGGGATTTTACCACCGTAATTGGAATCTGTAAAAAATAAAAAGTAAAGCTGATTTTAGGCTTCCCAATCCAACAACTACAGTTAAATTCTCCAACATCTTTTCACGTCCCTTCTAGCCTTCCAACCCACCATCAGTCCGTCCCTGAAATAATTATAGCCCAGCAAAAAGTTACAAGGAAATGTAAAAATTGTTGAGATGGCATATGTTTTAGTGTATATTTTCACTACAATAATTTTTTAAAGTTATAAGAAAAATGCAGTCATGTATAGGTTACTAAGCCTCATTTTTATGGGTTTCAAAAATTAATTCTACACAGAGCATATGAAAAACAATGCACTCTGTTTAATCCCTGTAAATGTTTATTTTGGGATGTTATGAGTCCATCGTTATTTTAGTTTTTGTTAAAATTTAGATTCATGCTTCTCAACTTTTTTTCATTATTGCCACCCTAAGTATATGGAAGGAGCCCTCGTGGTGCAGTGGTTAAGCGCTGGGCTGTTAATCAAAAACTAGGCAGTTCTACCCCACCAGCAGTTCCTCAGGAGAAAAAGGTCAGTGATTTGAACCCATTAACCGCTCCATGGGAGAAAGATGTGGCAGTCTGTTTCTGTAAAGATTCAGCCTTGGCAACCCTACGGGGCAGTTCTACTGTCCTACAGAGTTGATACGAGTTGGAACCGACTCGACAGCAACAGGTTTGGGTTTTGGTTTTTTGTCATTAGTACTGCTGCTGCTGTTGTTAGTATGTACGTCTAATGTCCCATTTCGTAACTACTAACCATGAATTGTGCGCTCGGAGATGTACTTCTCTAACTGATTCCGAAGCTTTGCTTCAACCGTGGGGTGTCCGTGGCAGCCGTTGTCCACAAGCAGCAGATGGGTGTGGTTGTTGTCCAAGATATACAGAGGGTCCCTCGTGAAGTCATCCATAATGTACTGGGCTAAAAAATATCCCTGAAAAGTACGAAGAAACTTATCTTTGAGGTTTTACTTGTTGACCAAGATGCATGACATTTTTGTATGTTCATGTTAAGGATAATCCTTTGGGTTCAAATCTATTGATGCCTCCTCCCAGGTTCCTAAGTTTGAATGGTCATGATGATCTTATAGTACAGGCTTTCATTTTAAATATGAGATTCAAAATGGTTGGGTCACTTGTCCATTGTTGCAAAAATGGCTGGTTACAATGTAAGGACCAAATTCCAAATCCAATTCTTCTTCTGTGGCACTGTGCTCTTTTGTATAAATTCATTTGAAAGTGATATTATTCAGGGAGTGATGTGTGTGTGTGTGTGTGTGTGTGTGTGTGTGTCTGGATACAGGGCTAAAATTAGGGGTAGGCATTGATATCATTGTTGTTATTTGCCGTGGAGTCCATTCCAACTCACTGTGACCTTACGTATATCAGAACAAATCATTGCCCAGTCCTGTGCTATCCTCATGCTCACTGGTACACTTGCGTCCATTCTGTGGCTGTTGTGTCAATCCATCTCACTGAGGGTTCCCCTCATTTTTGCTGACCCTCTACTTTACACACACACACCTATTTATCAAGAATCTACCATATGCGAGGCCCTGTGTCAGGATCTAGGGATTAGAAAAAGAATAAGTCAGAGTCTTTGCCTTTGAGAAGCACATGGCTGTGAGACCACAATTAAGTAGACAGTTTGTGCTACCCTGGATACAAGAGAATAAAAAAAGCCAAAGACCAGTTCTCTAATGAATAAGAGACAAAAATGCTAACAAATTATTGACTGATTAAACTCAGCAGGATTATTAAGAAACAGCTAGTGTTGTTTCCAGAAGTCAGTCCATCAGATTATGGGTTAAAGGAGAAAAATAATAACCCAATAGGTGCAAAAGACATTTCATAAAACTCAACATTCATTCTCGATTAAAAAATATATAAACTAGAAACAAAAGGATGATGCCTTAAGGTAAGTTTTTGTTTTAGAATCTACATATATAAAAATCAAAGATGTCACTTTAAGGACTAAGGTACGCCTGACCCAAGTCACGGTGTTTTCAATCATCTCATGCACATGTGAAAGCCAGACAATGAATAAGGAAGACCTAAGAAGAATTGATGCTTTCGAATTATGGTGTTGGCCAATAATATTGAATATACCATGGACTGCCAAAAGAACAAACAAATCTTTCTTGGGAGAAGTACAGCCAGAATGCTCATTAGAAGGAAGGATGATGAGCTTATGTCTTACATACTTTGGACGTGTTATCAGGAGGGACCAGTCCCTGGAGAAGGACATCATGCTTGGTAGAGTACAGGGTCAGTGAAAAAGAGGAAGACCCTCAATGAGATGGATGGACACAGTGGCTACAACAATGGGCTCAAGCCTAACAACATTGTGAGGATGGCGCAGGACCAGGCAGTGTTTGGTTCTGTTGTACATGGGGTCGCTACAAGTCGGAACCTACTCAACAGCACCTAACAATAACAACAATGTATATTGAACTTTCAGCCAACGTTCTATTTACCGGTGAAATACTAGAATCATTCCCACTAGTGGTGATAGCTCTGGTGGTGCAGGGGTTAAGAGCTCAGCTGCTAACCAAAAGGTTAGCAGTTCGAATCTACCAGCCACTCCTTGGAAACGCTATGGGGCAGTTCTACTCTGTCCTGGAGGGTCACTATGAGTCAGAATCGACTCCACAGCAAAGGGTTTTTAGTGGCGATAGCAGGTATCTTTTGAGGATACCTGTTTTCGTCACTATTATTTAACATTACCCTGGACATTGTAGCCAGGGCAACAAGATGAGCAAAAAATACAAGATACAATTAAACTGGAAGAGCTGTTTTAAAAAGTAACTATTTACCAATAATACGGTTGTAAGCCTAGAACACCAGAGAATCAACTGTAAAACTATTAGAACTGGGAAAAGAGATCATTAACGTGTCTGATTCAAAACAACAACAGACAAACTAGTATTTTCATGTACACCAGCAAAAATGGATTCAAAAATCAAACTGAATAAAGATCCCATTCACAGTAGCAATAACTATATAAAATCTCTAGAAATAACAAGATATATGTAGGGCCTAGTGAGGAGAGCTATAAAATTTTCCTGAAAGACACAGACTTGCATAAATTGAGAGACATACTACTGGAAGAGGACTTGATATTATAACAATTTCAATTTTTCTTGCATCTGTTTGTAGGTTTAATATGATTCCACTCAGTGAGTGTGAGATTCTGTAGTTGTCATTTGTTTTGTTTTGTGGTTGAATCTTGACAAAGGGATTTCAAAGTCTAAATGAAAAAGTACATGGTAATGAATATCCAAGTACACTGCACTTGATTACTTTTGTGTGGCCTTTCTACCCATGATCTTGGAACTCTCACCCAAGTGACTGGGCGGGACTGTGTGACAGGGTAATTGTGGCCATTGCAATGAATTTTAGAACCCAGTAGAGAGTGCTGTGGGAGGGACAGTTGGTGTCAGAGTTGGTAAAGATGGCAGACGGAGGAAGCATGTCTGATTTCTGCCTCATAGGAATCAGCCCTGGGCTGTTGATCTTAGTTCTCCTTTCCGTTTGTGAAGTTAGAGGAGGTCAGACACCGTCCCCATGTTGTTTTTACACTAAGAAAAACTGGAAAACAAGAATAATAAGTAAAGGTTTGCACTCTTTTTTAATGCATGTGTAATACGAAAATTGAGTCCCTGGACCGTAAAAATGGTTAACTGACTCAGCCACTAACAAAAAATTTGGAAGTTCAAGTTCACCCAGAGGGGCCTTGGAAGAAAGGCTTGGCAATCTCCTTCCAAAAAATCATCCATTGAAAACACTATGGAATACAGTTGTACTCTGACTCACATGGGGTTGCTATGTGTTGGAGTCAACTCAACAGCAATTGGTACTGGTAGTAGTGGTTACAAGAGGCATGAACCATGCCTCTACCACTTACTAGCTATATAATTTTAAAAGTTTCTCACTTTCCTTTTGCCTCAGTTTTCTCACCTATAAAGAGAGGGTGATAGTACTTACCTCATAGGATTGTTGTGAGGATTAAATTAGTTAAAATATGTAAAACACTTAGACTAGAACCAGGTACGTAGTAAGTGCTATTAAATAAGTGTTAGATATTATTACTACTATTCAATTATTTTTTACTTTCCTTATTTTTATTAATAAAGGCATACGGCTATGCTTTTCACTCTGAGTGCTGCTTTGGCCACCTACTGTTAGTCTTAATATGTGATGCTTTCATTGTCATTGTTTTTAAGTGATCTGCAATTATATTTTTGAAAGTTCATTTTTGACCCAATAATTATTTAACAGAATATTGTTTATCTGGTTGTTTCTTGATTTCCAAGTGATTGACACTTTCTGTTTAATTTTTGTATATTCTTTTTGTCACTTTTAGGATTAGGGTGCACTTGACCCAATCCGTGGTATGTTCAATCACCTCATATGCATGTGAAAGTTGAACAATGAATAAGGAAGACCAAAGAAGAATTGACGCCTTTGAATTATGGTGTTGGCGAAGAATATTGAATATACCATGGACCGCCAGAAGAATGAACAAATCTGTCTTGGAAGAAGTACAGCCGGAATGCTTCTTAGACACAAGCATGGTGAGACTTCGACTCATGTAGTTTGAACATGACATCAGGAGGGACCAGTCCCTGGAGAAGGATATCATGCTCGGTAAAGCAGAGGGTCAGTGAAAGAGAGGAAACCCCTCAACCAGATGGACTGACACAATGGCTGCAACAACGGGCTCAAGCATAACAATGATTGTGAGGATGGTGCAGGACCAGGCAATGTTTCATTCTATTGTACAGAGGGTGGTTAAGAGTTGGAACCGACTCAACGGCACCTAACAACAACAAAAACAACATACTGATTTCAAGTTTCACTTGTTGACAGGAATCGGTCCTATAAATCTCTGCCTTGAGGAAATAATGAAGTCTTTTTTTGTTCCAATTCAGGTTTAAAAATACCTACTTTATAGGGTTGTTTTTGTGATTCTATGAATCCGTGAAATATGAATTAATATATTCAATGTTTCCATCACAGGAATGGTAATTATACACACTAAGTTGACTTCCTCGCCCCTGAAAAATATTGCAGATAAATAATGGCATTCTGTCCCACTCAGTCTGCAGAAGTCCTAATAATCCTACTCAAGTCTGATATTCACCCCCTGAGGTTGGCATTTGACGTGAGACCATTTTGGCCTCCCTGGGTGAGTACGTAGCAATAACCATAAAAGCTGCCATTTGCTCAGCATGACTAGATACATCTATTCAAGTATAAAAAAACCAAACTCTCTGCCATAGACTCAATTCCCATTCATCGAGACCCTACAGGACAGAGTAGAACTGTCTCATAGGGTTTCCAAGGCTGTAAATCTTTACTGAAGCAGACTGCCACATCTTTCTCCCACGGAGCAGCTGGTGGGTTCAAACTGCCGACCTTTCAGTTATCAGCCAAGTGCTTAACCACTGCACCACCAGGGCTCCTTATCCAAGTATAAATCCCAATGCCATCAAATCGATTCTGACTCATAGCAAACCTATAAGACAGAGTAGAACTGCCCCATAGGGCTTCCAAGGAGTGGCTGGGGGATTTGAACTGCTGACCTTTGGGTTAGCAGTCAAGCTCTTAACCACTGTGCCACCAGGGCTCCTATCTAAGTATATAGTACAAGGTTATTATTATAAAACCTAAGGGAAGGGAACTCACTCAAGCTACTCTGCAACTCAGTGGTTTCTCAAACCCAGATGTCTCTGACCCCAAAGCCCATCCTTTTCCCACTCCACCACACTGCCTCCTTGGAGATGCTCAAAAAATGCCTTTCCACTGTCCTCTGCCCCTTATAAGGCTCAAAAATGAGAACAAAGACACAAAAGTGAGAAAAATTTTTAGAAAAGAGAACCACAGCAATTCCAAAAATCCTTAACATTACTGTCAAAATTTCTAAGGAGTCCTAGATGGAAAAAGGTGTAGATTAAATCTGGATTTCTGAACATCTGATCCAACATTTCCCTGCAGAGAACACCTATTACTTAAGGAGGCCCTTAACTCACTAGAAAACGCTGTCTTCAAAATTCCACACTTGATATAAAAGCCCATATGTCTACCTTGCATTTCAAACATGAAATACAGGTTGATTACTCTCTAAATATGCTCACAGAGAACTTTTTTTTTTTTTTTTTTTTTTGAGGGGAGGGAGGAATCACGGCCTTCTTAATGCCAAATTAACCAGGGACCACGGCAACTGATTTGAATTCCCATGAGTGCGACCAGCAATAAAGATACCGCAACTATCTTTATTGCTTGGTCCTACTCAAGGGCTTGAGTGGGGATTCAAATCATAGGTGTAAAAACTAAAGAGCCTGACTCTAGCAACATATACTGGGAACACATTTTAGTTAAAAAAAACACCAAAACCAAAAAAACCAAACCCATGGCCGTCGAGTCGATTCCAACTCATAGCGACCCCACAGGGTTTCCAAGACTGTACATCTCTACAGTAGCCGACCGCCACATCTTTCTCCCAAGGAGCACTGGCAGTTCTGAACTGCCAAGCTTTCGGTTAGCAGTCAAGCGCTTTCCATTGTTAACTCCTTCCCAAGTTGAAAATGTGTTCTTAGATTATTTCATTAATTCTTGAGGTCCCAAAAGGCAGACTTCCCTGCGAACCAGTGCCGTCACAGAGTCCCAAAGTTCAGACTGTTCCAAGGTCGTTCTCCCATGTTACCTTGCAGACCTGCTCCTGTCCCACCATACCTCAGCATCGCAGTTCCTGATGAGGGTGTCTCGGTTGGAGACCATGCCCCAAGCTGCTATGCCAATGGCCACAATGTTCTCCTCAGAGTTCCTGCTGATGGTGTTGTCTCTCACCACCTCCCCGATATACTTCATCAGGCCATAGTGTGTGCCTCCTGTGAGAATCCAAGCCCCTGTCAAGGAAGAACAGCAAGCGCTCAGCTGGTGCTGGGTCAGGGTCCCATCCTGTCCCCATAGACCCTTAAGGAAACTTCCAGCCCCACCTCCGTGAACATCAGGAGACCACACTTTAATAGGTTTTGCCCAAGACTGTACGATAAGGAAGGACAATAGGATCTCAGGCAGTGTTCCTAAGAGGTTCTCATTAAAAAATAATGATTCTGGGCTATTAGTTGCCTTTGAGTCGATTCCAACTGGTGGCAACCCCACGTGTTACAAAGTAGACCTGCTCCATAGGGTTTTCTTGGCTGTAATTTTAATGGAAGCATATCACCGGGGCTTTTTTCACAGTAATCGCTGGGTGAGTTCGAACCACCAACCGTTTGGTTAGCGGTGGAGTGCAAACCGTTTGTGCCACCAGGGACCTCAGGTCCCACTCCAGAACTACTGGATCAGATTCTCTTGGTGTGGGGGCTGAGAATCTGCATCTTTAACAGGACTCTCAGGTGAATCTTTATATGGACAATAAATGCCAGAGCTTTCAAGCAAGTTAGACAGTACTGCACTCTACTCCAAGACTCCTACCTCAGTCAGATCCGCATGGATCTTCCTGCGATGGTCCTGGTGCCAACAATTTAGCTTTGCTTTATATTTGCACAGTAATATTTTTAAGGTTTACATTTGATGAGCTTTACAATGTCAAGAGTCTTTTCAGTTTTATTTTAGTAAAATGAAAGTAAATAAAATACCTACAAAAATCTTCTTTAGCATTACAATAGAATCTAAAGTTGGAAATTACCCTAGTCTAATATGCTACCCGTGCAGGAGGGTTGGTCACTGGCCTCTCTTGATTAGCTCTGGTGAAGGAAGTTCACCTCAGAGGAACAAGGCAACGTTCTTCTAATGGCTAGAAAGTCCTTTTGCTTTTTGCTCCCTAGTGGTTTCCATTCTCTAATTTCACCACTGTCTCCGGCAATAAGGAACAAGTTTAGTCATCTCAGTCCTTCCCATGTATTGAGCTAAATGTGATGTCTTCTCTAAACATTTCATATCCAATTCCTTCAGCAAGTTCTCACAGGACATGAATTCCAGACCACTCAGTGCCCAGTTTCCTCCCTCCAACATATTCTGTTGTCAACATTCCTCTTTACAATGAGCCAGCTAGAACTGAATGCAGCGCTCCAGGTGGCCAGCGCAGAGGATGATGATACCATCAACTTCCCAGCTCTCTGCTTCACTTCATCTAAGTAGAATGTGTGTGCGCTCCTCCAGGCCAGGGACTTTTGTGTGTTTTGTTCTCTGCTGTATTCTCAGACTAAGACAGGCTTGGAAGAAAGGCCTGGTGATGTGCTTCTGAAAATTAACCAATGGAAACCCTATGGACCACAGCACAGTATTGTCCAATATAGTGCTATGATCATGAACATGGCGCAGAAATGCATTTCATTCTGTTGTGCATGGGGACATCATGAGTCAGAGCCAACTCTATGGCAACTGACAACCTACTCCCAGCACCTAGAACAGCTCCTGGCACCTAGTAAGCATTTAATAAGTATTTGTCAAATAACTGAATGAATGATATGTGTTCAGGATTTAGCAGTAAGGTAGCTAAGTTGCTCAATTTTCTAACAAAAGAACTACTTCAAGTGGAAAATTGAGAAGAAGAAATAACTATCTTACAGTTTACTCTTAATATTAAGAAAATGTCCATATCGAAAATAAAACGTGTTTCCTTAGTTTTGTCAGTCAACAAGTATTCTTAGTAAAAGAAGTTAAAACGAATGTTAGCCCAAATAAACTGATGATCTTTCTAATCATGAAGAAACATCAATCAAACCCAGACTGAAGGACAACCTACCCAACAATCGGCCTGTGTTCTCTAAAAATGTCATAAAGGTCAAAGAAAGGCTGACAACCTGTTCCAGATTAAAAAAACTAAAAAGCTATGAAAGGCTAAGTAGATTGCTCCCAGAAAAAAAAAAAAAAAGAAAAAATCCTCTTTTGCTAATTATCCCAACACAGCAAAATAATTAGCAAAGTTAGAAAATGGACTGTTAGATATGGGTGAACGTTAACTTTCCTGAGTATGAAAATTGTATTTTGCTATATAAGAGAACATCCCTGGTCTTAGGAGATGCACACTGAAGTACTTACGGACTAGGGACCATGATGCGTGCAACTTACTCTCAAACAGCCTTTAAAAAAAATCATAGAGCTAGAAATAGAAAAATGGCCCTCTAGGCAGAAGCACCACGCTGTCCCTCCACAGCAAAGATCCGAAAAACTAAGCCAAACACAATACAACAATCCTGAAACCCTAACACATCAAATGAAGAGATAAAGAACTCAGCCAAGCACCGAATGGAGTAAGAAAACTGACAGAGAATGGAGAGCGAGGAGAGATTCATGCAGAGGTCCCCTACCAGCTAACACAGTGCGGATCCACCATCTTGGACTCCTATCAGAGACCAGCAAACTGGGGTACGAGAGAGCAGCCTCATGGAGTGTCCAGTGGGAGACAAAACAGCCGGTAATTTGCGGTGTGCGCTTTCCCACCCCCCACCCCTCTTCACCCCGGCTCGGCCTCCTCTCCTTCCCGCAGCCACTGTCTCTTGACTGGGAAGCGCCGGCTGCTTGGATTCCACACACCCAAGCGCGCGTCTCTCTGGGTGCCAATTGTTGGCTGCTGGTGTTGCTTTTTTTTTCTGCTTCTTTTGATTTCTCACTTGCCTCTCGCCGCCTCCCCCTCCTTTTGCTCGAGTGCCTGGCTCCGAGCGCCATCTTTGCCTCTTCCTGAGGGGCTGCGGGGCTCCATTAGAGTGTGCAGCTGCGTCCCGGTCTGGGCTGCCGCGTTGGTGGGATCCTGGGGCTTTTGTTCGTTTGTTCCTCTGCTTCCCGTGGCCAAGTCCCTTGACCAGGATGCACCGGCTGCTTGGATTCCTCACACCCAAGCGGGCGGCTCTCTGGGTGCCATTTGTTGGCTGCTAGTGTTGCTTTTTTTTTCTGCCTCTTTTGATTTCTTACTTGCCTCTGGCCACCTCCCCCTCCTTTCACTCGAGTGCCTGGCTCCGTGCACCATCTTTGCTTCTTCCTGAGGGGCTCCAGAG